ATTTTACTAAGATAATCTGTAATTTTGTGTTTAAACATACTTGCTTATCCCTCTTGGTGTTCTTGTTCACTACAGTAGTATTTAACATGAAATAACTAATGTGAACACATATTCGCGGTGTCATGCTGATCGATTTTCACAGAGAATTACTTAAGTTTTTTGTCCTTTTATATTAACTCAATCTAATGAATGAACAACCTGTTCTTCAACCTCTGATATTCCTATATAAAAAGTTAAATAACCATCAAACAATTCTATAGTTTACATCAAGGTACGATATTAATTAAGTAAACATTAAAAACCTAAAAGCACTGGATATCTGTTTAGCTCTAGTATGGAACTTCTCAATAGTGTATATCCATGGCTACAATGTGGTCTAGCCCAGGAACTTTAAGCCTATCATTGGATGCCTAACTTCTGAATCATTGAAGAGATATTCATTAATTCATATGTATAACTTCTTAAAATGACCAAAAGCCAGAAGATTGTCCTTAATTCCCATCTCTAATATTTCTGTGCATAAAATCGATTATACGTAACCATTAAATATCATGGAATATTGTTTGACTATTACGTTCAAGTTTCAGAGTTGGCAACAGTGTGGATCACTAGTCACACTATGGGTGGAACTTTCAACCCCCAAGTTACGAAACAAGCAAATCATATTCACTCATAGAGGTGCTATGCAGAACTACAACTAACTGATCACTGGATCAAGATCAATAACACATTTGTTTAGTCCATAGTGCTTCTACAATTCAATCGACAGATTCGCGATTCGACCACTAGTCTAAGTAACTCAGTATAGCATGCCCTAGGATTCTTTATCAGATGGTTGAAAATATTCGGTGGAAAACATTGCTATTTAACAGTCTATGATCTGTAAGTAAGTAATGCTCTCTAGTTGGCTCAAACACTTGTCACCCATTTCTACGATCCGAGAAGTCATCACGTCTTGCTGGAGAGTATCAACCACCACGAAACTTTGTTGAGTCAGGGATTTTTTTACCAATTAATGATTATCACTTGAAAATTTCAATACAGATCAAACCTCATCAGATATTATCTGTGAATCCTTATCTGATTTCGGAGCCTGAAAACTCGGGAAAAATTAATTTATTAATGAATCTGATGAAAATCGACTTTCAGTTTAGGTATTCATTGATTCTTTGTTCATTTTATGGTTGTACTGCTAGTAGGGAATGCCATTTGTTCAATGTCCTGAAACATTACTGACAAATACGTCTTGACCGTAGCTGCTACATTGACGTGGTGGTTAAACTTTCTTATCGTGATGAGCCAGTTGAGAAATATTGGTTAGAATATTCGTTTCGTTAGATCCTGCTATCCCAGGCAGGTTAGTTAAAGAATAGTAAAACAAAAGGTAGAAAATTAAGGATCGTGAGTAAAGTTGTACTGTTAACTTTATGGAGATATAAAGACAATGATGTGTTTTAATCAAGCAAAAGCCATCTACAAAGATGCTTTCTTCCTGAAGCAATAGAAAGGGGTTAGAAAGGTCTGTACTGAAAATGTCTTACCTCCCCTTGCCTCAAGGATTTCCATCTTTGGTGGTAAGACCTTTAAAATACCGAGTTATCACATGAAAAAATTCCTGGAAGAAAATCGTTTGGTCAGCTTCAACCACTTGTTAATTTGTATGTGGTCAAACTCTTAGGTTACCAAGACGACTACTAATTCAGTTTTTATTTCATATCCCTCAAGAGGAAACATGCTCTACAGTATGGACAACTAAATCTTCCCAACTGGATGTATCTAACATAAATCAGTGTTGATTTTCATACTGAAATTCAAGTCAAGTGCTATTCACTTCAAGTATCCATTTGCTTTCCTCTGAGCTTTTAAACTCAATTAACTATTATTGAGACAATCCACACAGAATGCATATTTCTTGACAGAAATTGATGATCTCAATGGTTTAAATAATGAGTCAATTGAAGCTAGATCACCATAGAAAACCTGAAAGCACTGAACGACTATTTCATCCTAGTATGGGACTCCTCTGCAGTGCTCATTCACAGTCCAACCCAGGACCTAATAGTCTCGCGCACGAACGCTTAACCACTAGACCACTGAGCTGACCGACATCTAACGTTGTTAATGTCTTACTTCAACCAATCCACAAAATTGAGCCACTGTTCACCATTGTCATCAGTGAGTTACTATCTCACAACAGACCCAATTGAACTCCATTGATCATCGATTCTCACTAGAACTCCAGAATATACCTCATGAAGCCAATCACTAATGAACACTTGTTGATGAGTATCAAAGAGGTGATTTTAAGGAGATTATAGTAATTTTAATAGTTGAGATCATGAGTCCATTGAAGCTAGACCACCATAAAAAAACCTGGAAGCACTGAACACCCCTTTCATCCTATTATAGAACTCCTAAGCCCTGTACATTGTTATGTTGTTATATCTAACATTAACAACCGGTAAAATACAAACTCTTACATCTACTAACTATGTTCTTATTATATTAAACAATATCTATTTCACCATATGGTAATATAATATCTCTAATAACATGTACATAATAAGATATAACATTAATTGTTTTAATTCTCTATATATAAAATAAAGATTCACATTTTAAATAGATTGATCATTACAAACTTAATATACACAAATTACCTAGTTAAATAAAATATACAAGATACTTTTCTTTTCCACCACCCCCTCAACAACATACCACCTCATCCCACCCTTAGTAACCACCATCTTTCATTTCAATCCTTATTACATAATATACAATACAGAATTACATTTTGATTATTTGTATTATATATAAAAAGTTTTAAAGTGAATTCATTCACTAAAAAGAAAAAAATACAAAAACTAAAAAAAAAGGAAATTTAGAAGAAACTATTGAAACATCTGTTAGCTTAATCTTACCCTTATCCGTTGTGTAGAAGAATAAAGTAAATTTGGAAAAACTATTTGAACATAAATAGTCGTACCGAAATACGGAATAATAATTATGCATATTTATATATATATAAAAGAAAATAAGACTAATGTGAGGTATTCATTGAAACTATATACATATCTTGACTTGTTCATATTATTACCAGGTTTGTTTTAGAATTTGTTCTCTTTTCTTTGTTATTCTTTTGCTTTCTATTATATTATTTATTCCAATGTTAAGAATTACAGTCTAGCGGTTAAGCGTTCACGTGTAAGACTGATTGATCTTAGGTTCGAATCTCCTGAGGTAGGATTGTAGATGTGCACTGTTAAGGAGGAGTCCCACAATAGAACGAAATCACCGTCTAATACTTCCAGGTTTTCTATGGTGATCTAGGTTCAATTAACTCATGATCTCAACTATTACATCTATTTCACAGATTGAAATCATGAGTTAGTTGAAGCTAGACCACCATGGAAAACCTGGAAGCACTGGACAGCCGTTTCGTCCTAGTATGGAACTCCTCAGCAGTGCACATCCACGATCCCGCACCCCGCAAAATTTCAACCCAGGACCTATCAGTCTCGCGCCAGGCGCTTAACCAACTAAACCACTGAGCCGGCATCCAACGGTGTTCATGTCTAACTTCAACCAATTCATGAAGTTGCGTCACCGTATACCATCGTGGATGTGCACTGTTGATGAGTCCCATTCTAGGACGAATCGGCCGTCCAGTGCTTCCAGGTTTTCCATGGTGGTTTAGCTTCAATTGACTCATGATTTCAATCTGTGAAATTTCTAAAAAATCACCACAAACCCCTTCCGATAAAAAACATACTTTATTGATTAGACGTTCCAAATAAGTACGTTCACGATTATTTTGAAGCACATACATCACAAAAAATTCATATCAATCCATAAATATCTGAATTCAAAATATAAAATTTTATGTTTCAGTTAGGTTCATAATACAGATTGTATATTTCCTTAAACATCACACATGACACCACAAATGTTCAACTAATTAGTTCTCTTAAATAAAGTTTTTTTTTCAAAACTTATATCCTTATACCCGTTCAATTATATCACGTGATACGACATTCAATTAATGACACGGGCTTATGCGACCATAATAATTACAAGTAAACTTTTACGAGCAGCTTAGAGCTCTTATTGGTTCACCATGAATAATAGCTTATCTCCTAACTAAATTGTTTGAATCCAGAAAGTCAATCTCAGCCTCCACGATGCAAAACAACATATTTCAGACATACTGGATTTATATACAAACAAACCAAATCGCATCACACAATAAAATTGAGAATAACAACTATACAAGTTCAAGCCAAATAATGACTTTGATTGTGGAAGACTATTACTAATAAATTGGGAATAATGGTCAATAGGTTAAATAGAAGCTTATAATGAAAGGAATATAAACATACATATAGTATAGTTAATTAATAGTCATACAAAAAGAACATATGTATAATATTAGTCCATAACTAATTTTTAACGGTTACCATACATTTATTCTGGTCCGGATATAACAACTTCAATGACTACCTATCTAATTTCTGCTCTTACTAAACCATAACATTATTTTCCTTTTTGAATTAGTTGGTTGCTCATAAAACTCAATTTCTCATAATGAAAGTGTCAAATAATTCTAATATGACAATTATTTTGCGTTGTTGCATTCAATTCATCTCAAATTTTCGGTACTTCATTATTTCACTGAATGAATTATATGTGTGATTTATCATCCTAATATTTATTTAACTAGTATTTCTAAGCATATTATTGTACAGCATTAACTCCAGCCAAAAAAGGCTAGAATACATACACACTTGATTTGTAATAAGCAACTCCTATGTATATCATAGTATAGAAAATTTTATACTTCAAAGACTTCCAAATTCAACAATGAAAAATTTTACAAAGTTAAACAATCTATTTAAATAAATTAAAGTAGTTAAAGTGTTGTTTTTAAAATAATTAACCCGTTTGTTCATCACATTTTAAGTCAACAAAAATGACTCTTGTTTCTATTATTTTTTTATCAGCTTTGATGCAAGTGCTAATGACGAGCGTAAATTTCGACTTGAAGAGCATCGAGGTAGTAATTTAGTGTTGCAACATATCACTGGACGTCGTGGGTCATTTCTATATAGACAAGAGACAAACTCTGGACATTCATATTATAGTTCAAGGCACGAATCAATTACCGGCGATGAAACAACTAGATAGTAAGTTCATTTATAAGCCTAATCTGATTATTTTGTGTACAGTTTTTTGAGAAAAATCACATAGTTTATCACCACCATTTCAATGTTCATATTAAAAGCTAATAGCTACTATTTGTAAATCATTGTTGATGAGGGGAGTTGCTTTACCTAACTATCGATAAATTACACATAAAGGCAAACGTGAAAACAACCAAATGGTTCAACTCGGTGAAACAATAACTTAGTTGTTGAGATTCATCAACTTAAACTACCATGTATTTGCAATGTACCAATGCTAGTGTTGCAATTTTATTGGCCGGTCAATTCTTGTAGGGTGTAACTTACTAGATAACGGTGACTCAAAAATTATATTTCTGAAGGTGGGAAAATTTTATAAGGTTCTGTCTGATCAAAAATATATTGTCCAACACATAGTTAATCATTAAATAACTACCATCATCTAGTATGTATGACCAGTATACTGATTCCAAGACCTTGAATAAGGTATCTAACTTCTGGAAATCTAGCTTTAAATAATTTTGGAGAAAATTAAGGCTACTTACAGGATATATTCGTCATTAAAACCCACCTTTCAATTATTAACAAGATCATGGGTATCAATTCCAAGTTTGCACTTGATAGTTTCAAGTAAACTGAGCATTGGGTAGAGAGTTAAGAAAATACATATTTCTTAATACCCTTAACATTTTAATTATCATAGAATATAGTTTGTTATAAATACGTGATTCTGATAAATTTTTTGAATACAATCACTTATCAGTTTTTTTGTACGACAGAACCTTTATCCAACTGTTTGATGTTTTTAATTTGTTATATTCTCATTTACAGTGCCCAAGTTTACTTAAACTTTGTACACTTGACAGACACATTTTAGCATATAATTTCATACTACTAACAAAATGACTAGTAGCACTACTTTTTGACAAAATATCTGCTTATGGATACAACACTGAATAATCAATTTATAACTGTTGTTCCACATTAATATAAGTAAAAATAATCAGTAAATTTCCGGCTAATAATGAAAAAGTTACTTCTGTTATATTCATCAAAATACTGACATATAATTTCCGAAACTTGTACACAAAAATAACACAAATTCGAAGTAAAATATAAATAAGCAATAAATCATTGAAAACTTCTGACTAGCCAGCAATAATCGCTAACTAATGAAAAGCCATTAATTAAATTCTAGACGGATTTCTACAGTCAACTAATGAACCATATCACTAGAAAAATTGCGGTCAACATAAAAGTTATAGACTTAGTAATGAGTTCATTAGATCCCAGATTTTTAGTATTAAGAAAAGTTTACTAACACGTTAGAAATGTCATTCGATTTAAAATGATTTAGATTGGCTCGTTGATGATATATTTGATTGAAATTTGATTAGTCCGGGTTAGCATATGAGGATACCGTGAAGGTTCACTCGATATAACCATTATGATACAAGCAGCGAGATAATCCAAATAATTTTAAATTGAATTACATCTCGTATCGGTTGTGCAACGGAATAGCGATTTGTACTCAGTAGCTAAGTAGGAAAATACGATGATGTTTGAAGCAAATAGTACTGGGTTTGAGTGTTAGAGTTTACATCAACTCTGAGAAGCAAGCATATCCAGTTAACATGTCCGAAATAGGACGAATCGCACATACTGGATTCTAATGCTAGCCATATTCCATCTAGTCTATATCAAAATAAGCATTTTCGACATAAAATGAATATAGGATGGGGACGAACCTAAATAATTTCTGGAATAACTGAGTGATTTGAAAACTAACTATGAGCAAATATACAAAGAAACTGTACAAATCAAAAGTATTTCTTAACAATAATAATGAAACTTGTTGGGGTTCAATTGTTTTAAGATGTTCACTAGTATTCAATGGCATACTATCTGATTTTAATGTTATGGATAGATTGATACAACTCCCCATCAATCTGAATGCGAGTGTACTCACTCTGAAGGTGTTTTCCTGAATCTGTCTTACAGTTAGTAAATAGTTTTATTGGAAATTCTTCATTGCTTACTAAGAACTTTATTAACAAATTCACTGAAGAGTTAGAGAGATAGAGTTATAATAGAAACATTTTTGTCATCACAACAAAATGAAGAAGTCATTAGTAACTGTTTTTTTGTATATGTGTTTGAATTCCTTGTTTCTTCAACTTTCTTGTTACTCAGTCAAACAGTAATGAAATAATTTACTATAAATGAAGTAAGCTAAAACAAAAACTGATTGATTCACATGTTATGTAAAGTCTAGATAGAAAAAAAATGTTATCAGTATAGGGTTGTGAAGATTATTAACTTAGTGTTTGACATCATGAACCGATTGATGTTAGACCATCACTGGGAACCTGGAAGTACTGGACGGCTATCCCGTCCTAGCATGGCACTCCTTAGCAGTACGTATCCATGATCCCGCCCTCCTCGGGATTAAAACCCAGAACCTATCGGTATCGTGCGTGAACTCTTAACCTTCAGACCACTGAATCGGCATTCAGTGGTGTTAATGCCTAACATCAACCAATCCGCGTAATTGCGCGACCATTTTTCACTTTGCTGAGGTAGAAAGCTGTCTTTACGCGAAACAGATTAGTTCCACTGGTCATGGCTTCTCATTAGAACTCTAGGAATTCACTCACAAAACTAATCATTGGTGAGCACATGGTAGGTTAGACATTCACACTACTAGATGCCGACTCAGTCGTATAGAGGTTAAGTGTTCGCGAGAGACTGATAACACCTGGGTCTGAATCTCGCGGGGCGGGGTCGTGGATACGCACCACTCATGAGTCCCTACAATAGAACGAAACGAACGTCCAGTACTTCCATATTTCAACGGTGATCTAACATCAATCGTTTCATGATCTCAATCAAGAAAAAAAGTGCAGGTAATATTGATTGATCACTGAGTGCGATCAATGTCATGTATGTCAATTTCTTAATGCAGATCGAATGCTATCGATCATGTTGCAATGTGGCCACCAGTCTAGGTGACTTGACACTGCGAGCACTATATATTGAGATTAGATGGTGGCTGTAGTTAGTCAACATTGATCGCCACCCAGTGATCAATCCATTGTGATTGTATCTCAGTCCTACAGAGGGTCGATCGCGGCTCGGATAGCTCAGTGGTAACGTCTCTGACTGTGAAGCGGGGTGACACGAGATCGAATTCGCCAGGGAGCACCAGTTCCCTCAAGATTACAGGTACACCTTGCTGATGAGTACCAAGTAGCACGAAACCCGGGTCTAAGGTTTCCTGTCGACTACCTCCAACCCCCATCTAAGAGCAAGTAATGTGTTTGACTCTGTCATTTTTATTATGAATTATAAACATTCTAATCACTCTATAATTACACATTCTACATGAAAAAAATAAATACAAAGTTCATTTATTTTAACTTTTTCTAATTGATTCATTCCTATTTATATATACCTTTATAAACAGTTTCTTTGTCACCATTAGAAATTCATTATTCAATTAGAATACATTAAGTAAACAACAAATCTTATGATAAATAATTTGACCAATACTACACACACACACATACATACATACATACATACATACATACAAACATACATACATAAAGTCATAAGATACAAATCAATATACTTAGTCTCAACTGTTACAAGCAAGTATCAGAATAAACAACATTACCTTGTTCAAATTGATAGGATATCAAGCTTGTTTCTTTCTTTCTTTCTTTCTTTGTTTTTCTCTTTTTTTGTTTTTTATTTTTTGTTTTAAATAGAAATTGATTTATTTTCTTATTTTTATTTTTATCATTTTCAATTTTCCTTTTTTTGTTTTCTTTATTAGTTCTCTTAGTTGATTGGCTGTTTGTCATAGGAAAATTTCCCTAACTATATATATATATATATATAGGTATGAAATCTTTGTGTTTAGTTTCATCAATTTACCCAGATGACATTTGAAAATATTGATTTATATATGTGATAGATTTGACATTTTTTTGTGTTTTTGCCATATCTCCTCCCCCTCCCCTTATGTATAATCTAAATTATATTTATATGGATATTAATATTGAAATTTCGAGAAATATTCGATAAAGAATTGATTATTTTTCTTCTTGAAAAGAGAAAAGAAAAAGAAAAAAAACTAAAGAATAACATTGAGTAACTAAGGTGATTGGATTAGAATTTTCTGATTAGCGTTTTTTTGTGTTTTTAGCGAGTTAGTTTTTTATGTAATGGGGTCAGTAACCCTATGATCAACCTTCCTCTTTTATTCAGGCTTGGGACCATCAGTAACACTAGAAGTGCTATAAGCGGAGTTTATTAGATTAGAGTGTACCCCCAATAATTTATAGACTATAATATTAAATATTTTACATGAATAATCACTGATTATTAGTGAATGTTATGCTTGTTTAGGTTTTATTTATTTAAACACATAAACATTGGTACAAAGAGGCATCAAATAGATATGCGCCACATAAATCATTCGATTTGTGTGAAAGCTGGGATACTGCCCGGGTGCCCAAACCGAAGCAAGTGGTTTTCTTAGGTGGCCACACCCCGAGCCTTTGACCTAAAGGTCTGACCCACAAGACAATGGATCATCGTGATGAGATGCAGTCCCATGGTAGCCGGTGACCAACGATTGGTTCATACGCCATTTGTTTCCTCAGGATATTGGAGCCCATCTGCATCAATGGTTTGGAATCCGGTTAAAACTCCAGACATTCGCTTTTCGTCCTCTCATTTTCATAAACAATACCCCTACCACGAGAAGGTAACGAGTAGGACTTCCGTGGCAGACGCTGTATACGCGTGGCCGTGTGAGAGCATTTCGATAAGGAGGGAGGGCTCACCCCACTATCGGCCATACCAAGGCATTTGAGTTTTTTAGTTCTGACCGATTATTTTATAATTCAGCTATTAGTTTAATTGACTCAATATTGCGTGAACTAAATCTTAGTGTATATTGACAATTGAATGAAATCAGTATGAAGCTCTGA